TGTCACGTGATTCACCAGCGCGGCGCGATAAATCGTTATTGCAAAGTACGACTCGTCCTCGCTGCGAATCGTGAAAACTTCGCAGTAAGGATAAAACGGGCGCGCTGACTATGCGCGTCCACGAAATTGTCCTTTCGCGCAAGTCGCGAGAAATAAAGCTTGTCGTGCTGAGGCAGCATCCTGCCGCGAGAAAGGCTGATCGCCGTTAACGCGTCTAATCTTCTCGCCACGTCGCGCCGTCATTAACTGAAAGGCAAGAGTGTCAGCAAGTAATTTAATTAATCAAACACCGCGCCCGAGTAGATATCTCCCCGGGGAGTGGTGCAGAGAATATTTCTCCGAGTCAAAAGAAATGTCGTTCTTGACTTTACACCTTGTCGTAAAAAGGTCGTTGCAGGCAACCGTCGCGTTATATACAGAATATTAAGAAAAAATACCCAAGACTTATAGAATAGATAGCACACAGAGTAAGAAATACTTGTCGAAAAATCGACTCTTTTCAGGATTAGAAGTGATTTTCGATGTGTAATTGAAATATCCTTTCTTCCAAATTTCACAAATGTGTCACACTTTATATTGTAACTTGCTGTACTAATAACCGACTTCATAATCGTTTACTGCGCACCAGCAGTGGCTCTCAATTTTGACAACTTGAAGCGTTGCAACCTCATTTGAAAAAGAGTGCAAACTGATTTACGACTATACATAATTTGCTTGCTTATATTATTACATGCGGCGTGAAAACAGAAGATTACTTCATAACATTCTTATTATCGTGTTCGCAAAAGATATTTGAAATATCTTTCTTCCATTTCTGCACACACACTTTGCAACGAGGAATCATATTATCATCTTTGGAATCAAATTTGGAATATAAGACACGCGTCTTCTCATCTTACGTTCACTAGATATTTTTGATGCTCAAGTTAATGAATTATCTATCCTATGAGTCTTGAGCCTTTCTCTACACTTTGCACGAACGATGCAGTTAACGAAATGATGAACAGAATAACGTTCTTGTTGACGACAAAATCAGGCGGTGTATGCGAGATACCGCGTCGTTGATGGCGCAGTGAATTTCCTTCTCGTCAACTTTACGCGTTGCGGGATGACTCGGAGCGACGAGACTGGCGTGCTTCGCGCTCGGCAGTTCTTTGCGCGGGTCCCGCGGGTGCCCGGAGAACTGTCACGGCGAGAGGTGTCGAGGCCGGGTCGTAAGTAAAATGAATTTAACATTTGGCGTTTATATACGCCCTACAAACTGCGCGCCGTGGGAACGAGTTCGGCAAACTTGACGTCGCGAGTTAGGCGTGTGCGCGACGCCTCGCATCCGCACCCCGATGTGTTTCGGTTTCCGCACGTTACGACGGCGCGGGGGGAATAGTTGTCGCGTCGGCGACAAACGAAATTTATTGCGTGGCGAGCCAACAGAGGAAGAAGGAGAGGGAAAATCGCGAGCGACTTGCCGTTGGACCGAATCGCGCGAACTCTACTGGCGTCCCGGCGCGGGAACGTGAAATTCGACGGGGGAACGCGCGAAAATCGCGCACGATTTGTACGAACTAATGCGAAACTTCGAGAAATTACTCCGGCGTTGGCGGAGCGCCAGCTACCGCCAGCGACTTTGAAGTTAAGCTCGGGATTATTAGGGAACCCGTGTCGCCGGGAATCGAGCGCGACTTTCAGCAAATTCGCGTAAAAATTGCGCGAGACCGCGCGGATAATTGATGAGCGGACCGGCGAGGAGTTAAGGCGGGGAAAACGCGGAACGAGTGTCTTTCACTTGTGCCTGTAAGAGCTGTCCAATTGCGTGGATAGGGAAGCGCGGGGGAGCGCGAGCATCAGGGCGATTGTACGGCGGGAAATGTGGTAAAAAGGATAATCGGGAATAATTAGCGTGTAACGCGGGATCCTGGAAAAGTGCATTACACGCGGCCCGCGAGTCGCACACTTTGGCGAAGGTAACGGCAATTTATCCGGTACCGTGGATGCAATTACCGTTGACAACGCACGTCGAAATATCCGCGGCACAATCTCCACGGAGAGAGAGAGAGAGAGAGATATATATAGAGAGCTAGAGAGGAGCCGCGAGATCGTTCCATTAACGGCGGTCGCCACGGGTTACCCGCAATTCGGACGTAATTAAGTCTCGAGCTAGTTTAACAAAATTTCACCCCCGGCCCCGAGGTCTGCCGCGTATGTAAAATTACACGCGAAAGTGGGCTCTCTATAAAATCAAACGGCGCGGGCGGGAGCTAATTTCTTACTTACGCCTCGACGTCGGCACCTGCCGATTCGATCGAACGGCATCGACGGCTGGGCTCAGCAGGCGAACAAATCTGCTCTTAATCTTGACTGAATCCATATGGGAGCACACGCGCCAAGCAGATTCACGAATTTATGCGCGGCAATCGCGAAGCAGTTTTGCTTTCCTGCTGAACGCAGTCGTCGATTCTGTTCGACCGAATTCTAGAAAAGTCCAAAGTTGGCAGCAGCTTCCTCTGCTGAACGCAGCCAACTTTTCAGAGAGGAGAGCAATAACGTTAGAGAGGGCGGGACGAGAAACAATAACCGCGGTTCACCGTGAAGAGACCCGCGCACGATGAAGTGAACACGACCCAGCGAGGTGGCCCGCACGAGCTCTCTGACATCGCGGAAACAATCGCCGCCGTCGGCGCGGCGTGTACTGGAACGGCGCTTACGGTAATGGTGTGTGGAGAGATCGCTCCATTAACGACGATCACCTCTCAAGTTACCCGCAATTTGGGAATGATTGAACGAGGCAAGATCGAATTCGAGCCCGGCCGCGCTATCGGCATATTTCCGCCGCGGTAATCCGCTCCCGGGGTGCTGCGCAATTCACGGGATAATGTGCGCGGGCGGGCTCGCAAACTCTACTCTTCACGTTGTTGTAATTCGAGGCCCACAAAAATCGAGAGCACGCTCTCTTCCTCGCGGAACTTCTGTATTTCGAGAAGCGACAAAGTCAACTGTTTGCAAAATGGAATATTCATCTCTCTTCCTCTGCCTCGAAAATATCTCGAAATTTACGTGTTCGAGAGAGAGAGAGAGAGGGAGAGACTGAAGTCAGCGCGCGCGAAGGGAGACGAACCACGGACGAACCACGGACGGACGAAATGACGACGGACGGAGGACGTCGTC